GGACCACGTCTCAGTTCCATAGGTCATTACTATGGAACTGAGTTATGTTACCCTGGGTGCCTCGCGATTGCAGGTAATTATTTCGATGAATTAGCAAGCTAATGCGAGCGAATTCGTGGGCATAGACCGTGAGGGTAGTATTAAACAAAAACATCCTTAAAAGCGTAGATTTTGAGGTTGATAAAATATTAAACTTAATGTATTATAATAAACATAAATTTTGTCTAAATTATTTATAAAGTTTTGACTATAAAAAAACTGCTAGTCTGATAATTTGCGTAGCAATATTTTTTAAATCCATATCTGTTATTTTATAATCTTCAGTATACTCGTATGTGTCTACAGATAGACTTTTAAATAATGATTGTGATAAGTAAATTTTAGTTGATTTTATTAAAGATTTAGATTAATATATAAGATTTTAGTAGTGATAATTGATAATTATAACCTTTATTATCTTACTATAATATTTAACATATTATCTTAATCTAGTAAATATTTACGTAAACACCGTCTAGACTTGTTGTTGGCGCGAAGACTACTTGTGTAAGGGTTGTCAAGCGTCACATTTGAGGAATTTTTAATTTATTTAACAAAACTATTATTAGAAAATTATGTATGATATACAGCCATACTAGCTTTTATTAAATATGTAAGCAAATATATATACCAACCTATGATGGTACTACTAAACGATTTGAAATTTTAACTTCCCACAATCCAAATAAACTGAAATAGCCATTTGCGCCACTTCGGTTTCAAGCACTCAAGTATATGCGAAAGCTAGATTGAACTCTCTATTCCCTCACTCTCATAATTCGTTGGGATGGCAAACCCACACGACCAGACGGAGTACAATCAGGACCAACGGCTTTACGTGCTTTCCGAAGCACGGTGGTGAAACAACGCTAACCTTCTAATTGTAAGCTGCTGCTAAGAATTTCTTTACAGTAAAACTCAATATCTGTTATTTTTGTCCCGTCCCGGGATCGGAATCCGGTACCTCACGATCAGCAGTTACATTGATGAGCAATGGACCAACGAGGCGGTCGGAATGTATGTACTGACGACAATACAATGCAAAAGTATCACTGGGTCGTTCTAATGATGATGCCGAGAAGTGTTAATGGGAACTCTACAACACGCAATAAGACCACCAGCACACAGTTGGTGGGAAGGAACTACAGCGTGGCATGGACGGTTCTTGTCCAGTTTTAATAAACTACACTATATGCAAAAAGCGACATCCAGACGAGATGAGGGGGTAAGAGGTTGGCGTTATATACTGGTATTTGTTTGTATTGTAGTTGTATATAGTAACAATATAGGTGGTAGACGCAGGCTACAGCTATATTGTGGTCGTAGCACAAATGGGTCAGCTCGACTGGGGAAGGACTCACTCTTACAAAATACCAGCGATAAACGGCAGACTAATTCTGCGTGTTGTCTTTTGTTGTATTTCGTATGGTGACTGTAGGTGAGTGTATACGGTGCACTCTCTGTTTCATCTATGCCATCCGATTATCAGAGCCAGTCCGCTTTCTGGCAAGATAGTGCGGGTACGGGCGTCGGTGTTCCTGCTCCCTCACTCTCGTAGTCCGGTAGGATACTAAGTGCTACTGAGAACTACTTAACATGAAACATTGGTACCTGATTCTTAGCCTGATCTTGATTTTTAGATTTGAACCCGAGACCATATTATCAACCGCCATCTTTACGAAAAATTCGGTAATAATAATAAATTTTAACACTTTGTCCTTTCCTGAGATGTCTACTAAATCTGTTGCTAAACTAGGTGCAGTTATATTTAAATTCATATCATTACAGTCTTTGTAAATGCCTTTATATTAATTTTAATGATTTTTTTCTTATTTAAATCCAATGGTTGACCACAATCCTACCAGGTGGTTATTGAAGGTGTAGCCCTAGATGGCAAATCACATTGACTTAGCGTAAAAAAAAAAACCTATTCACTTTTGCTTTAAGGCGCCCAGATTGTATTCGGACGGAAAGATAGACGCCGTCAAATTATTCCACTCTTTTGCCGTACGCATTACAAAAGACGTAGCAAACCGTTTGGGATAGTTGTAAGTGCCTCGAATATTGAAAATAAAGGGGTGAAGACCAACCGACCGTCTCGTAGTCCGACGGTGGAAAGGAGAGGGAGGAATTAAAGCATGTAATTTATTTATTTATTTATTTATTTTACACTTTATTGTACTAAAGGTACAAACGGCGGACTTAATGCCATATGGCATTTTCTACCAGCCAACCGGAAAGTTAGTGGGAGATGCGTGTTCTGCAGTGGGCTAGGATGAAACCTAAAATTGCTAAATTTCACATACACATACACCTTCACCCCCTCCCACACACACACCACACACATACATATTCATAGCTCAAACTCAATTAAATATATATAAGGATCTAATAGATTAAATGTTATAGATTATTTATATATTTTTGTGTCAGATGACACCCAAGTAATGTTCCTTTACCTTTGTTTTAAAAATCCATTTGTTGGGGGATTTTCTTATTGCTAGGGGAAGCGCATTCCAGAGTCTTACAGCTGTAACAGCGAAAGAGTTTGAGAGGAAACCAGTACGGTGAGAGGGAGTATAGAGCACGAGATTGTTACGAGAGCGAAGACTGCAATCACGGGAAGAACCCAAGTATTGAAACTTACATTTCAAATACTCTGGGGCTAATGGATCGTTAAGAATAGTGAACAGAGTGCTAAGAATTCTAAGGCTCCTGCGTTGTGGGATATTTAACCATTTAAGTTGAGAGCGATAGAAAGAGATGTGGTCCTATTTTCGAAGACCGTAAATGAAACGGATACAGTTGTTGAGAAGCCGATCCAATTTATTGACCAAGTATTTGTCTGCATCTAAGTAACAGACATCAGCATAATCAAACATAGGAAGAATTAGCGATTGAATTAGATTTTTTTTTCGTACAAGGCGGTAAGATATTTTTATATCTGTACAATTGTCTCAAAGTAGTACAAACTTTACGGCTAACTTCCTCAACATGACTGCGCCAAGTAAGTGAACAATCCAAGGTTAATCCCAAGTCCCTAACATGAGAGCTGTAAGGAATAACCTCGCCATTATAGATCAGAGGATCGAATGATGTATGATTAAGTTTACCAAATTGACGTGCACTGCCTAAGACTATAGATTGGCATTTACTTGGATTAACAGCGACCCCATACCTTCTTGACCAATTAAGAATCAAGTTAAGATCGGAGTTAATCACGGTTACAGCATTATTTATGGAAGTAGCATCGGCATGAGCATAGGGCAGTCGTCGGCATACATATGGTAGGAAGCACGAAAATTACAAGTAATCATGTAAATAAATATAGAGAAAAGTAATTTCTAAAATTGAAATGCATCCTACAAGATACTGAGGGCTGACTATTTTGCGCCTTTGTTCAAGGCTGATACGATTGATTTCAACTAAATCAGGATTACGAATTAGCCTCTTAGCATATCTCTCCCCTGAGTCCAACGCTGCTAGGTGGTATTTTGCTGCACAAGCACATATGTGATAACAGTACTCCATGTACGATCGGACCTGCGCTTTAAATAACGTAAGAAGCTACCTGTAAAGTACCGCCGCACCCTTGCAAGGAGTTTCCTTGTGGTTGCTTTTGGCTCTGGACTAAAAGAACCACCCATAGTTGAGGTTCAGAGGAAATTTAAACGCTAACAACTGAAAGCGGTCGGTGTACTCCAAGGACACATTCTGAAAAGTAGGAGCCGGGGTGAGCGGGCTCATTTTAGCGGTGAAAAGACACGTTTGTGTTTTGGAGGCGTTGAATAGTCTGTAGAGATGGGTATTGTCACATTCGGAGATATACCTATAATGAGATGTACGCATGTCCAACCATATCTTCTCATTCGGACTTCATTTGATCCCGACTAGCCCAAGCATTCGACTGGTAGCTCGCTAAAACTGTTCTGTCATCTGCATACCCATAGATACCGGAAACAAGCAGATCATTAATATGCAATTGTTTAGTAATTAGAATACATACACTCAAGCAACGAAAACCTCATGCGGGCGTATAAACATAAGTATAAGCGTTTTCTTAGCTAATAGGTAACAAGTTGTAGATTATGATTTTGTTCGTTTTGTCGCGCCTATCACTCATAGAAATGTCTGTTGTTGATTATACATGCACTTGTCACAAAATAAAGAAGCTTGTGCACTTATTCTCAAGGGTTTTACAACCCCTTTAGAACAAGTCTTTGAGTAGGTGGTTTATACATTTAACTCACACACACGTAAATTTTAACAAGAGTTTTATCACTTATGAATTTAATTGGGTTGCTAGATTGTTTAATTGTATGCATAAACTATTAATTGAATAACAATTATTCTTAATGATTTATTACGTTGCGTATACTACATATTGAATGTAAGTAATTTTAGTCTCATTGGTAAAGATAACTCATTCAGCGTATTAAATATCGATGTTCTAGGAAGTATGCAATTTGCAAATGATAATATAAGAAATGATCCTTAGCATCAGCAGGGACAGCATCAGCTCTCCAAATATCGGTAATTAAACATTAAATAAATTAAAGGCGATAAAATCAGTAAATTAGTTTTATTCAAAATTTGTATTTATTTTTCAACTTGGAATATGATGTACCGGATACAATACAATACTCTATTCTCTTTCAATGATGTGATGAACTTTTTTCTGACGTTTGTAATTTTAAAGGCAATTAATATTGACAACCCTGGACCCTAATCTTGATCACATTCGACTTAATATTTGTGCGTTGTTTGTGTGACTGTATAAAAGCGCAAATTATGTTGGAAATACATTAGTGTTGTCTTTACTCGTAGAAAATAAAGTGACGGATTTTAAACCTTTATTTTAAACTTTCTCTCGCAAAAAAGCTACAAGTTTAAACTTGTGGCGAAGTGATATCATAGGGTCTTACTAAAATATATTGATCACCACATACCGTCAAGTCATAATGATCCCATCCATTGCATTGAGTATTTTTCTCAGCAACTTCGTGTAAGTAAGACTAAATTCTATTGATCGGTATTCATATTAAACGGCCACCCAAAGAGAATGAGAGGAGCGCGTGTTTGTCGTGCATGACGTACGCTCCGCTCAACCTCGACTCTCCGAACGCTCTTCTCTAATATCTTACCTTTACACATATTGTTTACGTTAATACTACAAACTGGCAATGACAAATTGCCAATTCACAATGCTGTGTTGGTCCCTACTTTAACGTATGGTAGTGAAAGTTGGGTGTGGCAGAAGAAGCACGAGAGTAGAATGAACGCAGTAGAAATGCGGTCGTTAAGGAGTATGTTAGGGCTGAATCTGAATGACAGGGTAAGAAATTGTGTAATAAGAGAAGAGTGTGGTTTGCAAGATGATGTTGTGACCAGGATTAAGAAAGGAATGCTTCGGTGGTTTGGTCATGCGGAAAGAATGAATGAGGAAAGAGTGACAAAGAAAATTTATGGTGCAGAAGTGAATGGCAGAGTCGGAAAGGGACGTCCTAGGCGAAAAATTATCGACCAAATTGGCGATTTATTGAAAACGGGCCAAATTAGGAGTACCCTTAACCGACGAGCATGTATGCGTAGGTGTATGGATGTGAAGGAGGCAAAAGAGGTGTGTCAGGATCGTGCCAAATGGAAGTCTGTAGTCTCTGCCTACCCCTCTGGGTGACAGGCGTGAGTGTTTATATATATATTATATATATATAATACTACAAACATGAAAAAAGTCACTTCCAATTTTTTTGTAACTTAGTACTACCATGCACTTTTACTTTATATATGGTACTCGTAAGTATTTCAGAGGTTTAGTCGTGAAAAAGTCTTTTTTTTTAAGAAATAGTAGTTGTAGGGACTTGATTCTTAATTTATACTCGTATTTAAGTTAAAGCTAACGAGGTTACTGAAAAAAAAACACACTCAAGATTATTTTGTTTATTCAAATTTTATATTTCATATACATTTGTTCTTAAGTAGATAATAATTTGAAAATGACTGTGAGTAATTTCTAAACATTTTTAGGTAACGAAATAATTAACCATATTTATAGAGCCGATTTTCCTTCGCTTATCTTTCTAACCATTCAGATTCCTTGTTAAAACTGTTCTTAACTTTCCTTTCTGTAATTTTGGTTTTTACTCCAATTCATTTACCTAATGCCCATGCGCTTAAACTTTCTACCATTTTACATCAGAGATTCCGATATTTTATTAATTTTTATGATACGTGTAGGAGAAAAAAACTTAGCATATTGGGAGCCGTCCATAAATCACATGAGGCTCAAAAGAGGGGAGTGGGTTTAACAAAAATCACGGAATATCACTAGGGGGGAGTGTATTTATTTTTTCGAAAATTTTTTCGAGAAAAGTGGCATGGAATGTGACCTTGACTCGCTTGTACATGAAAATTCATGTCGCAAGCATGAACGTAATCCGAGCAATAATAGTATAGAGATGCACAATGTTCGTCCTTCACACATCCTCACACGACGATCGATCGGTAGATCGAGAGAGAATCTCTGCGTAGTGCGCGAAAATGATGACATGATAAAACCGACGCTGATCTTCAACAAAGCACAGTGCCAATAACTGAGTTGCAAGATGCTTAACCAGTTGTTAGTGTTGAAGAGTCTTACTAATCCGTGGTCCGAGGACAATGTATAGACAATAGTAGAACAATATTAAATATGTTTATGTCTGGTATAATATATGATTTCCGAATGATTACACCATTCCTTTAATATTATTTCAATGCCAGTCAAAAACAATCTGCAACCTTACTGTCTAGACATTTTAATCATATTCAGAATAAAACTAGATTATACTTTATAGGTACTAAAAAATACACGTGTTTTTTTTAGTCTTAAACCTCATCACGTATCACTAAGAGGGAGGGGGGGTTTAAAAATGCTAAAAAACGTCACATGATGAAGGCCGCTTGTAAATGAAATACTATTTATTTGTATTTTATTATGATTTGTTTCTATCATATAATATGTTAGCATTGTGTATTTGTTATCATTATTGGTTATATTTATTCATGTTGTATAATTTGTGAGTATGCGGCTCACCCGATGGTAAGTGACTATCACCACCCATGAACAACCGCAACACTAGGGCAATCGTAGATATGTTGCCGGCCCTTTAGAAAGGAGTAAGCTCTTTACTTGAAGGCCCCTATCGTATCGGCCCGGAAAAGTCACCGGTGGCAAACAGTTCCACAGAGAAGTTTTAAGAGAAAACGCACAGTGGTGGACTGCCATGCATCCAGATGGTGAGGATGGTATGATAAATTTTAACGCGATGTGCGTTCATGAAATTTGGTAGCTAAAACTAATCCAAACAATTCATTAGAACACTCCCCATGGTAAATACGATAGAAAACGCAAAGGGATGCAACATCCCTACACAGTGCCAACGAATCGAGCCGATCAAAACAAACTCGGTTATTAACGATTCGAATCGCTCTGCGCTGGATGCGGCTCAGTAGAAGGAGCTTGCACTGGGGATGTACCCCGGCACAGAATTGAGAACAGTATTCCATTTGGGGCCGAACTTGCGATTTGTAAAGTTGCAAATGACGAGTCGGCATGCAATACTGTCTCACTCTGCTGAGCACGCCAAGTTTTATACAGGTCAATTTGGCCTTCCCCTCCAAATGAACACGAAACGGCACACTATTTGATACGTTGACGCCAAGGATTCTGATGTTAACTGAGGCAGCAAGTGGAGTGACTTCAAACTGAGGAGATACGACGAAGGGGTACATTTTAGCGATAACCGCGCAAACCGCGCAAACTTGTGTCTTCTGGGGATTGAATTGGACTAGATTTAGTCGCCCCCAATCCTAGTCTTCGTTAATCAAAGATTTGACATCAGACTTAGGTTTGTCTCGGTACTTGGCGACAATTTCCCAATAAAAATTGGGACGGTCGGTGTATAAGGCATCACCGGTGCTGTCGTCTGCATCGTAATGAATGAAAGTTTACAACATATCATTGATATGCAGAAGAAACAGCGTTGGTGATAGTACGCAGCCTTGTAGAACACCAGCATTAATAGGCTTGTAATCGAAGCTTGCACCATCTACAACGACTTTGATGCTCCTATCTGCAAGAAAGCTAGTGGTCCAATCGCAAAATTTCGAAAGATTCCAAAGAAGCGCTTTGTGCCAGACCCGATTGAAGGCCTTCGCGATGTTCAAACTAACGGCCAATGCCTCCTCCTTGGACTCTACTGCCTCCGCTGATCTATGAGTCAGGTAGACCAGAAGATCACCAGCTGATTGACCACGACGAAAACCGTATTGGCGATCTCTAACAAACTGGTAATCCTCAAGGTACTTCATGAGCTAGCTGTTTACAATGGACTCCATTATTTTGGAGAACAAGGAGGTGATGGCGATAGGCCTACAGTTTAACGGGTCTAAACGATCGCTTATTTTGGAATTGGGTTGACCAAAGCTGTCTTCCTAGAATTTGGGACTATGCCTTGGGAGTAGGAGTACAAGAAAAGACGCGTTAAAACTGGTGCCAACTTCGGAGCACCCGTCTTCAGCACAATGGGGGGGACTCTATCAGGCCCACTTGACTTGCTGACGTCCAGATAGAAGAGTGCTTTGTGAACCAAGCGCTGTGTAAGCCGCAGACCCGGCATGGAGCACTCGTACCGTGGGATAGTCGGCGCTGTGTTCTCCCCGTCATCGAGAGTCGAGTTGGACGCAAAGAGAGAGTCTAACAGATCGACTTTCTACTTTGCGGTATGTGCCAGTGAGTCGAATTCTCTGTGCAGAGATGGAAGAGGTGACTGACAGAAATTCCCTTGGACAGCCTTGGTGAGAGACCAGAATGCACGGGTTCCCGAAGGAAGGCGAACTAGCTTCTCGCCAATTCTGCCAATGTGCTCAGACCTCGCTTTGGAAATGACTTTTTTGAAGAACCTTGAGGCGGAATTATACTTCTTTTTCAGAGCGCTGGTGTTGACATCTTGAGATGTTGCCAGGCCCAGGCCTGGAACAATTCTGCTAATAGCGTGATTCTATTTTATAGGAGCGTACAAACCATGGCTGGGAACTGCCTCTGATGGGCACCGATGAGGACGAAATAAAAAATTTATACCCTGAAGTACCACATAAGCGAGAGAATCGGCAACAACGCTGGGATCGTCCGACGAGGAACAAACCAAAAGCAAAAAAAAAGACAGGATGCAAAAAAGACCGCGTCCTATCTCAATTGGACAACCTATAGTGCCAAGCACGGCGGCAGCCTGCAGAATGCAACCGCGACATTGCTGTGACTGTCACAACACTCCGGACAAGAGAATGGTTCGACAAGCTGAGAGGGGCGTCTACGCAAACCTGATATCCATCCGGATGAGAGGTCAGCAAAAGATCCGACAGGGAAGGTGTACGATCTTCCATATCTGGAATCCACGTAGCCGATGTAGCCAGTTGTGTCAGACGATATGCCAAAGCAAAGTCATAAACTGATCTTCACGCATGATCGGTTAAACGTGAGCCGAGTCATTTGGGGTGCAGGGCAAAAAAAATCGTCAAGGATCACGAGCCTCACTGTACAAATACTTCAGCACGTTAATACACCGACAGTCCGCTTGGCACCGCTAAAAGTACTGTAGCATCGACCAAATTTCGACGGAATCAAAGGTTTTCTAAAAATCCACATATTCTAAAAGTCCGCAGCGAGTGTTTTATATTAGTAAATATTATGCGTCATCATAAATCATGTGGTTGTGTAACGATCATATTCTTTCGCCGTAAATAGTTGTTGCGGATGATGTGACTTCTATTTCGACGTATGATTTTCACTGAGTGTAACTTTAGTATGATCTTTAGTACGATCTTTTGTATGATCTTTCTTCTAAAATATCTACTTCTGTACTACTATAACTTATAATTTACGATCGATGCGTAGTATTATATTTAGCATGTCGCGCTTTTTTGTGTTAAATAATTTCGCTTGGAGCGTTTTCGGAAGACACGAAACTTTAATTAATAGTTTTCTGTCATTTAAAAGCTTAGTCGGGGAAGGAAAACTTTCGCTTATTGAGGTACTAAAGAAACACGCGAGCCTCTTTAGGCTAGATTAGATTTATCATTATGCATTTTCTTCAGCATTTGTTTTACGGCTTGTATTGCTCTTTCCGGCTTGCTAAGAGTCTGTATAGGTTCATTTGCCCTAAGACTACTTGATCTGGCAATATACAATGCATGCACCCTGAGGACTTACAATAAGATCATGGAACTGAAAAAAGGGATAGACACGTGGCAATGTAATATAATGAGATTATCTAAGGTCCGAAGAGAGTAGGAGGACACGGCAATTTGTTCTATCAACGGCAGGGCGACCATCTGTTTCAAGGAGGTGACTGTCTCTTCTTCTCGCCACCTCGAGGGTAATAGCTGAAAATCAGTGTTTGCTCTCTGAGCAATATTAATCGCTGAGCACCAAACTGCAACACACTTAATTAGATCTTAAGTTATGTTTTTTCTTCATAATTCGTTGATTTCTATATCTAGTTAATTCACTGAATTTACATGTGTGATGGGAGAAACAAATAAACGTTTTAATCTATATATCTATCTAAATATCTTTATTCCAATTAAATATAATGTACTTGTGTGTGCGTGTGAGTGTACGTGTGGTAGTGCGTGCGTAGTGCGTTGTGCGTACGTTTGCGTGTGAGTGTGAGTGTGGGTGTGCGCGTGCGCTATAATACTTTAAGCATTGAAATTAAACATCAAAAGTTTAAATTTTGTTATAGAATATTAACACTTGCCGAACTTCCAGCCGATAGTGGACAGCAAAGGTTAACTGCGCAGGTAATTAGTCATTATATATTTTACGACATGTTTAATGTAAGTAAAACGATTTATAAGAGTTTGAAACATTACTCAACTCAATAATTAACCGCATATCCGGCGTAAGCTATGTGCTGACGTAAGACGTGTGCTGTCGATTCGTTTTATTATATACGAGTACTTACTGTATTTGAGCTAAGTTGTGACAAGATGGTTCAGTGTAAAAAATGTAAGCTAGAATAAAAAGTTAAAGTTAAAAGTTACAGTCTATATACGTCCCACTGCTGGGCACAAGCCTCCTCTCATTTCTGAGAGGGTTTTAAGGTAAGGAAGTATTCGCCACGCTGCCCCAATGCCTGTTGGCTACTAGAATAGCTAGTTGACTGGCTAGAATAGCTAGATATTATTATATAACCAGCAAAGCATAAGTGAAATCTAAATTTTGAAGAAATAACGCTATATCAAGGCAAATATGAGATGTTTGAATATACTAGTAAAAGTTTCGAGATGGTGGATTTTCACTATATGAAAAAGGATTAAACATAGAAAAATTTAATTTTGCTAAGCATTATATAGACCACCTAACACCAATAAACTGTCTTTCATAGAAGAATTAAGACTATTACTGGACTAAGACTATTACATATCATGAGAAGTTAACAAGATGTCATCATCACTGGGGACACAAATTTAAATAGAGAACAGCAGCATCGTGGAAAAATACAAAAACACGTTATGTGAACGAAGATTGTAGTGCGTTATCAATGAATGTACATAGGAGGGGGCCTATTTGTCACGCTAACGCACACAAAGCGTTCGATGCATACGGAACGAACGATAATGATATTTACATGAATGTTGTAAACGATAAATTTGACAAAGAAAAATTAAAAAGATAATTTGGAATCAATTACTAATACTTAACTGACCTTTATTACTTGATTTTGATATTTCGATTAGCAAGAAAACTAGTGATCCAATCGCAAAATTTCTCGGGAAGTCCAATATGAAGGGAGCTTCGAAAGAAGCGTTTTGTGCCAGATCCGCTCGAAGGCCTTCTTTATGTCCAAACTAACGACTTATGCCTCCATCATGGACTTTACTGCCTTCACCCAGTCAGTTAGACCAGAAGATCACCAGCTGATCGACTACGACGGAAACCGTATTGGCGGTCACTAATCAGCTGGTGTTTTGAACCTCTTGAGCTGGCAGTTTACAATGGACTCCATTATTTTGGTGAACAATGAAGTGATGTTAGGCCTGAAGTTAGACGGGTCTGAATGGTCACTTTTTTTAGGGATCAAGTGGACCAAAGCTGTCTTTCAAGAATTCGGGACTACTCCTTGGGAGTAGAAATACCGAAAAAAACTAATTTTGACCGGTGCCAACTCCGGAGCACACGTTTTCAGCACAATGACACCATCAGGCTCACTCGACTTGCTGACGTCCAGGGAGAAGAATGCTTTGCAAATCGAGCGCTGTGTAAACCGCACATCCAGCATGAAGCACTCACACCGTGGGATTGTTGGCGGTGTCGGTGTCGAGAGTCAAGTTAGACGCAAAGAGAGAGCTTAACAGATCGGCTTTTTACTTTACGGCATGGGCCAGTGAGTCGTCCTCTCTGTGCAGAGATGGAAGAGATGACTGACAGAAGTTCCCTTGGACAGCCTTGGCGAGAGACCAGAATGTATGGGTTCCCGATGGAAGGCGAAGTAGCTTCTCGCCAATTCTGCCGATGTGCTCGGACCTTGCCTTGGCAATGACTCTTTTGAAGGACCTGGAGGCAGCACTTCATATCATTATACTTCTTTTTAAGAGCGCTGGTGTTTACATCCCGAGACGTTGATGCGTCAGCCCAGGCCCGGTAGCACTGTATCAATGTGTAGTTTTTGCGTAAATATAAGAAATCATTATATAGTGATTTTAATAAAATACTGAAAAAAAAAGGATAGCTGGGGAGATTCTTTTCCCATTACTTATCCGGTCATTATTTTGAAACAGAAGTAGCTTTCTTACCTCGCAGAAATAAATATTTCACTTTCATTTAATTAAATATTATTTTTTGTATGGAGTTTTCTAAAAATAAAGCATTGAGATACACATTATTGGTAAACCAATGCAACATAGTGATAACTAAGTAATAAAAATTCAGTTCGTCTTTATTATTAGTATTGTATTTTTCTGGTTTACCAAATTTAGTAGTACACGCAGTTATATGATAAACTTACAACAAACAAGTACAACGGAAGTAGGCGAAACTATATTAAGGCGGAATCCATTTTATGACTAAACGTGATTTAATCATAAGTCTAGGGCTTAAACTAATGTTTATAACTAAATTTCACGTCCCCTGCTTTACGTTTTAGTTTCCATAATTTTTGCCAAACTTCTTTCTTAAAAATACTCCAAATAAAACCTTAGAATTTGGTTGTTCTAAAACAAAACTAAAGAATGTTCAAGATATTCTGTATATTTTAAGGTGTCAGTACATTTTTCATATATTTCAATCTTGACTTATGAAACATATCTTTATTTTCAGTACGATGAAATACCTTCGAAAGAAGTCTCCGAAATACTTTTCGGTGAAAATCCGCAACAAAGAAAAGTACTGGAGTTGTTACTCCACGATATTCAACGAGGTAATCATTTATTGCTAGTCGAGAATCGTGGATTGGAAAATAAAAAAATCGCAGACAGATTATTACATCATTTGAATCGCCCTACGGAATATATACAACTGCGCCGCAATACAACGATACAGTCCTTAACAGTACAACAAAATATCAAAAACGGAATTATCATTTATGAGGATTCGCCACTGGTCAAAGCCGTTAAATATGGCTATGTTTTAGTTGTATCTGAAGCGGACAAAGCGTCAACAATAGTTACAAGCAGTTTAAACACTTTAATGGCAAATAGAGAGATGGCACTAAGTGATGGTAGAAGAATGATTCCAAAGGAAGCTATGTATAGTTCTGGAATCAAATCAGCTGGTTTTCTTCCCGTGCACGAAAATTTTAGAATGATAGTTCTGGCTAGCCGAACTGGATTTCCATACTTAGAAGATTCCTCTGCTCGTTCAGGTAACTTTAATTGTATAATAATCATTTAATTTAACCAAACCAAAATATTTTTTTAATATACTTGCAGTATTTGCTATTAAATGTTGCCGTTGACATGCAAAGTAATAGTAGTAGCACAAGTAAACTTCGTAACTTGCAGTGCTTACCGCCACTGGCATAGTAATTTTTGAAATCGTTCTCCACGATTTGTACACAAGATATAAAATTGTTGTAGCAGTTAATCTTGGTAATTTTGAAATACCTACGTCTCTTAGGGAAAAGATAGGTTATATTATACGAAGCGAATCCATGCTGCAGTTAAATTATGACTACAATTTAACCGCAGTATGGCTTCGGCGATTTTAATACTGATATGGCTTGTGTAAACTCTTCAAAGGTGAAAGAACTTAAGCATTTTGTCATCATCACAGACTTGTAAAGGAACCGACTAGAATCACAGACCATTCCCAAACCATAATAGACCTCGTTATGACTGACAGCTCTTTAAAATCCAAAAATATTGATGTGATACATAACCACTGTTTAAGTGACCATGCATTAGTAATTGTAGATTTAGATATCAAAAAATCCAAGTTAAATAAACAAGTAAGGTTTCAACGACCATAATATTATATAAATCAAAATAAGTTTACAGAGGACTTAAAACTTACTCCCTGGGAATCCATATATATACTCTACATAATGTAGATGAAATGGAATAAAATTAAAACTTTTAACCTGTATATAATAAAATTATTTGACATACATGCACAAATTCGTAAGGTTGTTCTCAAAGTTCTAAACCATGGATTACAAATATGGTTAAATTTATGATAAAGCTCAAACAAGAGCGCAGAAAGATAAAAAGGACAGCTCGAAAGATTATTATCGAAATTTAAGAAATTTTGTTACCGCAACTATTGATAGAGAACGAAGAGCCTATTATAATAATTTTGTAAATACCACTATGAAAAATCCAGCTCTATGTTTTTCCAAACATAAAAAAACAGTACCCAATTTGATTACACGCACAAATCCATAATTCCTGAACATCTTAATGACCCCAATAAAATCAACGACCACTTTTTGAATTTACCAGTCAGTAACGGAACAGTTGTTCAAAAAAACTTCACTAGTTTAATTGATACACCAGAACTTGACATGCAGGTCCCAAAATCTACTACAGAACAGAAAGTAAAAGTTATTATTGATAATATAAAGACCAATGCAGAGGGACACGATGGCATTAGTATAGAGATGACTATTCTGACTCTAGATGTGACTCTTTCTATCATTACAAGGGTACTGAATAAGTCAATCGAAACAAATACTTTTCCATCATGTTGGAAAAGAGCACCGGTAAGGCCCATACCTAAAAAATATCTCCTACCGAAATTAAAGACTTGCGTCCTATTTCGATTTTGCCAGTACAGTAAGTAGTGTTAAATCAAGTGCTGAACTACTTGGAAACCAAAGGTATAATACCTAAATTCCAGTCGGGCTTTCGCAGGGGTCATGGTACAAAAACTGCACTTTTACATATCACAGACGACCTGACGGAGGCTTCGGATATGGGGATGAGTAGTATAATGGTATTATTTGATTATTATCGAGCATTTGATCGTTTGCAAACTGAACTACATTTAGATAAGCTAAGTTGCTATGGATTCTCAAAGAATACATGTATTTGGTTTCACAGTTTCCTCACTAATAGAGAACAAATGGTAGAAACTTACGATAAATACGGAGAAAAAAGACGATCGTGTCTCAGGTCAGTTCAGCGCGGCGTTCTCTACTTAGTCCAGTCCTATTTACAATTTTTACAGCAGATCTACTTAGGCATATAAAGTTTTGTAAATTTCATTTATATGCTGATGATACACAACTGTACTACTCGTTTCACAGTAAAGACGCTCGAAAAGTTATTGAAAAGTTAATGACAACTTGAGTAGTATCCAAACATGGTCTGAAAATAATTCTTTGGTTCTCAATGCAGCTAAATCTCAAATGTTGGTCTTAGGTACTAAACGCCGAATAAAAAATGTATTAGACGTTGGAGAAAAAGTAAAAATAAATAATGTTGTTCTGGAACAAGTAACCTCTGCATGTAATCTCGGTCTGATCTTAGATGGGGAACAAAATTTATTGATCACGTTAATAACAAAATCAGGACAGCATTTTTCAAGCTGAAAACGCTCTACAAAATCAGACCATATCTTAAAGAGCATGAAAAGGAGGGGGAAGTATGCAACAAATGCATGCGACGCATTTGTAGCGAACATCAAGCAGTCGTGTGTCCTGAATGAGTGGTAAGAGAATGATTTTATATGAAGCGATTTGATTTTTGGTTATATTACATGATAAGAAACAAAGAACTTAATAAATATTACTTTCTAAATTTAAAATAAGACAAGTAATCTAAAACCGTCCAAATAACTTTGATTTTTAGGAAGTATAAGTTTAGGAAGTATTGTTAAAAAAAGTTATGAAGCTAAATTTTGTTGATTTTTTGTGCCAATATAATAAAAATAAAGAGGTTTAGTAACTATAGATGCGTATTATTGTTTTTTAGCCTTATTAGGAAAACACATGATTTGCAAGTGGCCTAGGCTTGTAGCCCGCGCGTGCGTTCTAGGAGTGTTTATGAGCGCGTGTATTCTAAGTGTTATATATTATAGCGAAACAACCTACCCTTTTAATTTTTAATCGTTATACTTTTTTCCTTAAAAAAATGAAATATTCTATCCCTGTATCTACTACAGAATAGATTTAATAAGACGAATTATAGAATTACTCATTACAGAGTTCAGATACGGTGAGAATGGCATCACAGTCAAAGCAGTTGGATCAAGCCCATTAGTCACCACTGCTGTGATGGGTGGCTATGGCACGGGACCACATTCTGCTTCGGCAATAGCCACGGGTTCAGCCGTCGCCACCGCAACAGCAAAAACCTTTGGTTGGGGTACCTCGACCGCTACGGCAAATGCTGCTGGGTCATCAGTTGCCACCGTTACAGCGCACTCATACGACGCAGGTGTCGCCACGGGCACAATAACCACTACTGGATCATCAGTAGCATACGCAACAGCATACGCACACGATTCAGGAGTTGCCACTGTAAATGTGAATACTGCTGGCTCAGCAAAAGGGGACGCCTCAGCAGATGCTTACAACCTAGGACGCTCCACTGCCGCAGTAACCTGTACTGGTTCATCAGTTGCCGGCGGCACAGCAAGGTCACAAGACAGAGGAATTGCCACAGCCATAGCAAACACTGCCGGCTCGTCAGTCGTCAAGGCCCAGGCGATCGCCAGGGGCAATCAAGTTGTCACCGACACTCAAAAACGGCCCTAAACTTAGATTTTAAGTTTAAGCATCTTTTAAAATATAATGAGTTTTAATGTGGTGAAGCGTATTAGATTCCGATTTATTTAATGTTTAATTTTTTTTGAATAGTTTTTATACCGACTTTAAGGGATTTTACAATCAACCAATTTGTTTTAACCACTCTTAATGTTTTATTGTTACACTAATTTACCTACCGCCAAGAATAATAAATACTATTGCACGTTAGTTTTTGGACTGACCTTAATATAAATGTCAATAGTCTTATCGTAACAGTTGTAAAATTAATTCTTAAAAACGAATTTACGAAATGTGCAGTAGAAAGAAAAACTACGAGCCTGCGGCTTATGAGGCCTATTACGCTACGCCAACTAGATGAAAATTTTAATAATTGATCATTAAAATTTTGATCGGGCATAAGTGCATTCTTTTTTTTTCATGTCCTAAAATGCTGAATTACAGTTTTTGGAATTGAAATCTCATCGTGTGGTTCTTGCTTAAATAGTATTCCTATCATAAATCCTTCCAAAACCTCTCCCTAGTGTCTCATTTGTATCCACTACCGACTTTAAGAATATTTCAAAATGAATGGTAACAACTAACTATTATTTATATGATTATTGGCATGTTAATATTTTTATATAATTTCTTAAAACTTTTTAATTTATGCTGGACTTTGGATTAGTTGGTTTTTGTATTTAACCTTGAAAATGACATTACCAAAGGTGGTAACTTTTATGTCCGTCTGTCTTGGAGTAATGACATACATACATACGTATGTAATATTTTTTTATAGAATAAGGGTGACAAACGAGCTGTGTGCTCCTGATTGTAAATGGATACTGTGGCCCATAGACATCCACATATATACTCGATTAAGAATCAAAAGGCAGTGGCGTTGTCACCCCTGCGGGCTAAGATGCAATGCCTCGTTTCCAGGCAGTATTAAGATGCTATTTTACGGTGGTGTTCTGTGAGATCATGGTCCTTCCCCGATCAAGCCGACCCAATCGCGCTATTACCATAATATAGCTGCAGCGTGACTCTACCACGTAAAGAATCCACCATGTATAGAGAGTAATAATAAATACTACATTAATTTAGTCAATATACTTGTCTCACTTTTTCTAATTTAATCTTCAAATATGGCAACTTGAGAGACATAAAAATCGCAAGTGGTCATCTTTGGTCGTTTTATACGATGCCAAATATGAGAGTCACATCATTACGAGTACACTCGTATCTTCTAATTTACTAGAAAAATGATATTAGTGTTATGTTTAGCGTTTTTATTTACAAAACATGACGTCTTTAATCTACACTGATTTCGTCCGCAATGTTAGCAACAATCGACATCGATATACTTGGTTTTGCTTTGTAATTTGTATTTATTCAGAATATTGAAGCCGTGTAGCGATGGAGTTAAATAATCCTGGCGGGTTAAAGAATGAGTCCATCAGCTGGTGATCTTCTAGTCTACCTGACTTATAGATGGGCGGAGGTAGTAGAGTCCAAGAGGGAGGCATTGGTCGTATGTCCGAAACATTGCGAAAGCCTTCGATCGGGTTTGGCACAAAGCGCTTCTTTTTTACTCCCTTCCTATGGGCTTCCCGAGAAATTGTGCAATTGGATAACCAGCTTCCTTGCAGATCGGAGCATCAAGGTCGTTGTAGACGGTGCAAGCTCCGATTACAAGCCTATTAATGCTGGTGTTCCACAAGGCTGTGTGGTATTGACAACGCTGTTTCTTCTGCATATCAATGATATGTTGCAAACCTGTAACATTCATTGCTATGCAGATGACAGCACTGGTGATGCTCTGTACACCGGCCAAGCTAATATTTCTCGGGAAAACGTCTCCGAGTACCGGGACAAACTTGTGTGTGAAGTCGAGTCTTTGCTGAACAAAGTATTGGGTTGGGGGCGACTAAATCTAGTCCAGTTAAACCCTCAGAAGACACAAGTTTGCGCGTTACCCGCTAAAAAGAACCCCTTTGTCGTATCTCCTCAGTTTCTAGGCACTCCACTTGTTGCCTCAGCCATTATCAGAATCCTCGGCATATCGAGTGACAAGCTGTTTCGTGGTAACTTGGAAGAGAAGGCCAAATTTGCCTCTAAAAAGCTTGGCGTGCTCAGCAGAGCAGGACAGTATTTTTAATGCCGGCACACCACCTGCAACTTTACAAGGAGCAGGTTCGTCCGCAAATGGAATACTGTTCCCATATCTGGGCTGGAGCTCCCCAGTGCCAGCTCTTTCCAATTGACCTCATCCAGCGCAGAGCGGCTCGAATCGTCGAGGACCGTGTGCTTTCCGATTGGCTCGGTTCACCGGCGTTGCGAAGAGATGTTGCATCTCTTTGCATTTTCTTTTGCATATACCACGGGGAGTGCTCTGAGGGATTGTTCGGATTAATCCCAGCCTCAAAATTTCGTGAACACACTACGCAGCAAACGTTTCGATACCATCCATAACATCTGGATGCTTGGCGGTTCACCACTGTACGTTTCACAAGGAGTTTTCTTCTGCGTACGACCTCTATTTGGAGACGACCTGTAGTGCAGTAGTTTACCACCGGCGATTTTTCCAGACCGATAAGACCTTTAAGAAAAGAGCTTACTCCTTTCTAAAGGGCCGGCAACGCACCTGATATTCCCCTGGCGTTGTGGTTGATCAACCGGCGGCGTTAGTCACTTAACATCAGTTAAGCCGTATGCTCGTTTGCCCCCTCTTCTATAAAAAAACATTAATAAGCATAAAGTTAAAATAAATACATTTCATACATTAGGTATTTATAATAAATTAAAGACTTAACATTGTCTTTTAAAACCAATAAATTCATTAAAAACTTTGTTAAAATATTCAAAATGTGATAAATATTAGAAATACAAGTCGAAAATATTTTTTAATATATTTTTATTATTTTTCGGCAATATTTGTAACTCAAGGCAGACAAGGTTTAATAACAATATAAATCTGAATTTGTCTTAAAACATATTAAAAAATAACTAAAAACTAAATTTTCTGTGGGAAAATACATGTATAGCAAAAGCGCGCGCTTTAGACTTTTACTCCGCTCCGTTAGTGATGCTAGCAAAAGCATATTTAATTGTTCATTCGCTGGTAATACTTTAAGAAAATGCTTTAATTTAAACTCATGTAGCCTTTAGTTTTATCGAGGGCGGCACTGAAAATTTCGGGAATCAAGGAAGTGAAACAACATTACTATAGAAAAATGTAATTATTGCTTTTCGAAGTATTCTCCGCGAAATTTGACACATTTTTCCATACGATGGAACCAATCATTGAAGCAAACATTCCATTCGGAAGTTGGGGTCTCGAAATGGCCGTTTTGTAGGCGTCCACAGCTTTTTCAGGTGATGAAAATCTCTGTCCACGCAATTTATCCTTTATTTTAGGGAAAGTATAGAAATAATTAGGGCTTAGTTCGGGGCTGTACGGCGGATGGTCTAATAATTCTCTGTTTTCTTGCTCTAAAAACTCTTTTCTGTGTGCGGTGTGAGAATTCGCATTGTCGTGATGGAGGATGATGCGGCGGTTGCAGTTCTCTTTACCGAGTACAGAAACGACCTGTAGCAAACAAATGCTAGCATACCATTCTGCATTAACCGTTCTTTGTCCCTCAAGAGGAATAGTCTTAACATGGCCGGTTTTGGAGACAAACGTGGCCACCATTTTTTTTGCAACACTCCGTGAACCAACAATTTTTGTTGGCTTTAACTCATTTTCAAAAACCTAAAGTCGTGACTGGTTTTTTGTTTCGGGTTCGTACACGTATATCCAGGATTCGTCACCTGATGCGATGTTGTATATAGTATTTGAGGATCCTGCGTGGAATCTTTCGAGAGTTCTGACGCACCAAGTAACGCGAGCCGCTTTTTTGCTCTTCACAGAGCGAATGCGGTGTCCATCGGGAAAACAACTTTTTTACACCTAATTGTTCATGCAAGATTATTTGTATTTGACTCATGCCAAGGTCTAAAGTTGCTTGAATTTCGCGGTATGTCACATGTCGATCTTCCTCAATCAGCTTACGCACAGCATCAACCTTGACGGGGATCATCACTGAGCTTGACACGTCCACGTTGAAATTCAGCAAACCAGCGATAAATTGTGGTTTCGGATGGGGCTTCATCATCAAATGCAGAAATCATGCGGTCAACACACTGTTTTTGTGTTAAACCACTTCGAAAGTCATAACAAATCAGAATCAGTATCAGAAGTAGTAGGTATTGTAAGCGTAGAAGTATACTACAATGGAATAAAAAATCATTCAAGAAGACCGTTACGGCTTACAAGATGGTAAGTGATTACTGCCGTCCATGAACTTTGCAACACCAAGGAAATTACAGATACGTTGCCAGCCTTTTAGAAATGAGTAGACTCTTTTCTTGGAGGTCCCTAAATCGTATCGGTCCGGAAAAATCTCTGGTGGTAGTTGATTTCACAAAGAAGTAATGTGAGGTGGAAAACTTCTTTTAAGTCTCACGGTGGCGGACCGCCAGTCATCGGGATGGTATGGATGGTATCGCGAGTTTTGTTGCAATATGCGATGGTGAAATTGTGCGGTTGGTATTAGTCTGAACAATTCCTCAGAGCACACCCCGTGAGAAATAGATGCGATAAAATACGCAAAGAGATGCAACATCTTTTTGAAGTGCCAGGAAGTCAAGCCGATAGGAAAGAGCTCGGTCGCTGACGCTTAGAACAGCTCTGCACTGGTTGCGATCAAATGGAAGTAGCTGGCAATGGGGAGCCCTAGCCCAAAGATGGGAACAGTATTCCATGTGCAGCCGAACCTGTGCCTTGTAAAGTTGCCGGTGGTGAGCCGATAAGAAAAACTGCCCCACTCTGCTGAGCACGCCAAGCTTTTTAGAGGCCAATTTGGCCGTTTCTTCCAAGTGACCACGAAACTGCACGTCACTCGATATGTCGACGCCGAGGATTCCGATACTGGCTGAGGCAACAAGGGGAGTGCCTTGAAACTGAG